GTTGGATGGTTTCGCCAAACCCGGCCCACGCTGGCTGCCTAATGGCCTGCTCGGTTTAGGAAGAGCTTGTGCTTGGGATGGTTTTTTCAACACAGTTTCTCGATTTCTACACTGCTCGATTTTCGGCATGCGAACGTATGTTTTATCGACATTAGGCTTATTTCTACCATTTTCTCGGTTCTTGTTTAATTCCCCACAGTTACGAGGATCTGAAAAAGGCGTAAACAATTTCTGCTTTTTCTTAGTGGCGAAAAAAAAAAATCAATCCACTAAATAAGCCGAATAGCAAAAGCAAAATATAAGGACTAAGGAAGAAAAACTCACTTCCATCGTCATCCATGCCGTCAAAGAACTTCAATCGCAATCGAGGAACAAAATATTAAACACAAAAAATCAGTTTTACGAGCAATCCAGAACTTTTTTTAAGCAAAGTAATACTTTCTCTTATTCGTGTCGTAAAATATTATTATATAATAAAAATACGGCACCTGTGAGAGCTCCATTGAAGTTGGGGTAGTGAAAAAAGCTCCTTCGTCTAAAGGAGGAGATGGCAGGCCTTCTTCTTCTTCATCTTCGACAACCGAAGTTTTCACGGATTCTGGTCGAATTTCGGCATCTGTGAAAATGTAGGAAATTTATTAAATCTTATATACATATATATAAATTTAAATATGCTCAATTTTTCGATCGAAAAATTTACCTGCAATGGCTTTTGTAGCATCAACCCACGAATCAACCATTATTTTCCATTCCCTGCATTATTCAAGATCAAACGGCTCAAACTAGAAGCAAGTAAGCAACTACATTTTAACTCGATTTTTATTTTTTATAAATGGAACAATTGTTAATAAAATGATAATAAACTATCCAAATAAGGCAATCAATTAACATTAACTAATTAACTTCAGCTTCGAAAGGCAAAATAATCGGTTTAAGACGTACTCTATTAATGACCGAGCAAGATTTCGAATTTCAGCTGATCCATGCTTCCGCATGATATTAACCGATTTACCAATCTCTGTAGCCTGAAAACCGAACACGAATAAACCAGAAATTAGACTTACTAAACAAAAGAGTAAAGGACTTATAAGACATAATAAACTGCAGTTTTTCAAACCTTGAGAGTCTCCACAGACAGAGGCATAAGCTGAAGCTTCCTCAGTGAATCAAACAAAAACGAATCAGACTGCAAGAGACGAAGCAACACAGCTAATTAACAATCGAAACCGCAGAAATTTTAACAGTAATGTGTCGATAACCTACGGTTGAAAAAATACAACGTAACCATCCCGTAACGGGATAAATCAATTTGGTACCAATCAAAATCCTTCCACACAAGCTAAGAACAACAAAGCATGACAAACAAAAATCCAGCCCAACTGAGTCAATTTGGTACCAATCAATCAATCAATTAACAACAAAAACACAAGTACACGAACAAACGAACAAACCTCGTCTTTATGATTATCAAGAACATCCTTAATCCTCAAAACCTCCCCATAAAACTGAGATTCCTCCTCAATTTCATCATTCAATGCCTCAACATCACCATAACTATCATCCCTAACCCGATTCACATTCATCTCCATAACCTCTCTGTGATTAACATCATCACAGTCATCATCATCAACATCATCATCGTCTTCATTACAACATATGTCACTGCTGTTCACTTTGCTCTCCTTCGTGTCCTTACTCCCACCGGCCTCAACCCCACTCTTGTACTTATCCTCGCTTTTCTCCGGGCAGCCGCCGCCGGGAACGGCCAGCTCCAACCTCTCGCACCCAAAACACCTCGTGATTTTGCAGGCGAAGAGCAACTCCGCTATACTATCCCTCTTCATCTTGAAGTCGTACGGACAATCGGAGGCGGCCACCATTATCGCCTTCTCGATTATGTCGAAGATGTCCGAATTCGCCGTCCGGAAATAGTCCCTCCATTTGTCGAGGCTTGCGAAAGAAGTGTTCTTGGCCATACTGAATAAAAAAAGGAAAAATTGAATCTTTTTTTATTCACCGACTGACAACGGAAAAATCAACCGGTGCCCGGATAAAAAAACCCGATTGATTCAACACGGGCACGAATAAAAATCCGATCTTTGATGATAAAACCAGGCAAATCGAAGGTCGTGGGTTGAATAAAGTTTGGTGCCTTTGTGTTGTTCTATCTGTTTTTTGACCAAATATGTTCAGATGGGCTGATAAAAATGTGCTTTATTGTTAAGATAAGAACACCATGAAACACGGAAGTAGTAATCTTGGACTGGGTAATGATTCAAGAACAGTGATGGTGAAGATAAACTGTATTTTTTATTATTATTATTATTATAATTATTATTATTATTAGTGTATATGTATAACTTGGGCTTTTATGTAAATGTGTATTGTTTGGGCCTTATTTTATATTTTAGCATTGGGCTTTTCTCATTCTATTGTTAATTGTTGTGGCCTGTTTAGATGTAATTAGGTTTAGTATAAATAGGTTTAGCTCTCCCCTTTGTAAACACTTTTTCACTTTTCTGAAATAAGATTTTTCTCCTTTCTCTCTCTACGCTCATCTTCCCCAATCTTTCATCTCTCTATTTCAATCGCTCAATTTCAGATCTTATCAATTATTATAATATTACTATTTTTTATTTTAGTGCCGACTATTTTATAGGGTTTCATAGTGACAATATTTATTATTATTATCTTCACCATACTATTGTTACAATTATATGTAATTTTATCAAAAAATATCATTTAAAATATATTATAAACAGATGTATGATAGTTTAATAATATAAGTATATTTTTTGCTTTTAAATAGTATGACCATTCGACTCGCCTAACGATTAGGTTTCTCCAAACACGGATATGTGTAACTAAAATCGAACGCGGAATAGTCACATTTATTAGCAAATTTGAATATTTGAAAATTGGAATATAATATTTAAAAAAATAATAAAAATATGATATTCTATATCATAATTCATATATGGCATTCTTATTTTACAATAAAAAATTGGCAAGTGGTCATATAATACCCCACTCAAAAAAAAAAAGTATTTTTTTTTATTTCATTTTTAATGAATATTGGCCAAAAAAAAAAGAGGAAAATGATGAGCACAAAGAAAACGGGTTCGAAGAAAGTTCAACTCTTTGACTGTTTTGCCCATCTCAACACTGATAAATTCTTTATCTTTTTCATGTTATTTTTGTTATATTATATATTTCTTGACTACTTTGTTTTTTCGTGAGATTAATACAAATAATTCAACCATATACTACAAACCTGATTTTTTCTAAGATTTTGACCCACTTTTTGAGGTCACAACAAGTAAAAGGATTGATACAAAAATAAATAAAATTCAAAGTTCTCATTTAGAAGTAAGAAATAAGAAGGTAATACAAATTCTTGTTCTAGTATGTAGAACTTTTAAATGAAACGAGCAGCCGTAAACTCCAAACGAGACGATCTCGACCTAATTTAAAGATCGTTAGTTAATAAGTCGGGCTATATTGCTTGAAATATATGACTTTCTATAATTTTTGTTTAGTTAGACTCATTCATATCTGACAAACGATAGTCGACTTGTATACACATCTAGTGATACGATGTAGCTGTTCGTCGAGTCGATATGAAATAATTTTTTAGCAAAACATATATTTATACTATAAAAAATGAGAACAATTAAACTTTTCTAAAACCTAATTTAAAAATAATATTATGATTTGTACCAGAAGAAAATAAAAATATTATATTAGTAAAATAAATTAAATATATAAATAACATTAATCATTTTTATTTTTTTTAAAACATTTATCAAATTTATTTTATCATATTTATCACGAATAAAGTTGGTGTGGGGGTTTGTCGCTTTGTTGGGAGGAAGTTTGGTCGAATTTAAGACTTTTTTATGCGAAGAGATGTCGAGAATCGAGATTCACACGTGTCATCTTCACTTGCAATCTCAGACAGTTTTTTTTTTTTTTTATTTCTTTAATAATAAATATATATTTTTTTTTAAATCAAAGCGGTATATGGAAAATACTCGGCGACCCGATCAACGGATGTCGAGGCATGCAGTGGGTCCCACTGCATATATTAAAAATTTATTTAAAGATAATAAAAAATATTATATATAATTACTAGCTATTTATTTAATAATACATTTAATAAAATTTATTTCCATTTCTTTTTAAAAAGAGTTACATTTTTTCAATTAATTTACCCTCTAATCTGCTAAACAGTTATACTTTAATATATATATTATTTATTTTTTAGATCAATTACTAAATTAATTCTAAATTTGGTAGCAAATTATTCAAATGTGTAATTGCTAATGTTGGAACTTAAAGTTAATTGACGCATTCAAAGCTCTAACCGCTATATTTGATTTCATTGTTCGAAGAAAAATATGATTGACACATTTTTTTTACTAAAATTCAAAAACACCAATATTTTTTTTATATTTATGTTAATTTTCTTAATATATGCCACAAATATATAAATTACTTTATTCATGTTACTAATGTTACTATAAAAACACAAAAAATAATTGTAATACTTTTCTAACTAATTAATCGTATGGTCTCCCTAAATTACAAAATTACATTGTTCATTAAAATTTATATCATCAATATAAGGATTTATATGCAAGTTAAAATAATTTATATTTATATTGTGCATTTGTGTATGGTCAAACATTTTAAATTATAATACATTCATTGTCTAATTTAAAATTTTAAATATTGTATATATACATATAGTATATAACATTTTATTTGTCTATGTGCATGTGCACAGGGACGAATACTATTAGTATATAATTTGTAAGACTTTGAGCACTTTAAAAATAAATTGTCAGCATAATCCATTGCAATTATTTAGGTATAGACTATATAATTAGTCTCACTAAATATGGAACTTATTTGGTTTTTGATCTCCATAATCACGACATAAATAAATTATAAATGGAAAGTCTTCATGCTAATCGAATTAATCAATAAAATAAACTCTATTTGTACCAAAAAAAAAAATTGTACCCAAAAAAAAAAATTGTACCAAAAAAATAAAAAAATAAACTCTACTATTAAAAGAATATATGGACTCGATTGAAATATTGGATGTTCACTAATGCACTTGTTGATGGACGATCCGATCAACGGAAGATTAAATTTAGTAAAGGTGAGAAAGTAAGAATAAGAAAAATATACGATTAAGGTGAATTTCTTTACTTAATTACGAGGTCAGCCTTCAATGATGAGGTTGACACTTTTGTTACACTTGAAATAATTACGGGGGATTTATTACAAATTATAGAGAGAGAAAGTAGTAGTTGAGAATTCAACAACTCAAAATAAATGAAGTGAGTATTCTATTTATAGTGGCCTTCATGGAGCACTGTTCGAACACTGTTCACCCGTCTTGTCGAACACAACTTCGTGTAGGAGCTGACCCCAGGGAATCTTCAAGTCGGCCTTTCAGCATTTACCGACCTCCTGGCTCTCAGGGACACGCTATCCTGTCCGACATCCGCATAGGTTGACCTCGCCACACGATGGCTTGGGTGTCGACCTCAAAGATGGCGCCATTGGTCATCCCGACTGACCCAATTTCCCCACCAGCAGCATTTGGCGACCAATTGGTGGAATGGTACCAAGACATGCCATGAAGCTCACATTATACTCAAGGTGCAGAGTTTGAGTATTGGAGAGGGAAAAAACCACACAGGGTCCAAA